GGGATTACCACTTATATTAGTATCGCTCCCTCATTCATTCAGGATTACCTACCATGTACTCACTATGTACTGGGCATGGTACCATAGTCTTTTAAGGAAAATACACATACATACATATATATATACACAGAGAGAAAATTATATCATAAAGTTAACTTCATGGGACAAAGGGAAAATATTAGCATGGAACTATGTCCACATTCTCACATAGCCCCACCAACGCCCAGCTTCTAAGGCAATTTCTGGGTCTGCCTGCTTGGCCCTAGGGTTTTTATATGAACCCTCAAAACAGGCAGACCTAAATCTTTTGGAAAAGCCATGAATGGCTAGATTTATCTTAAAAGAACCTGATGCTACTAGCAGAAGAACATAACATCCTCCAAAATGGAAGAAGAGAATGAGGAGGAAAGAGGACAGCAAAGAATCACATTACTGAGAATACGGGAGTGAGAGAACAGAGATTTTCCACGAGCAACTGCTGTGAACAGGGAGACTGCGGGCAAAGGTGGGTCAAGGGGTTCTCGACAGTCATTTAAGTTTCCTCTGGTGTGATCTTCAACAGACTCTGGTAAAAACTTAAATTTCTCTCCAAATTTTTAAAATATTGGATGAATGAGTCTTTTCAGACTGGACGTACAAGCAGCCCCATTACATTAGAGTTACACTCACAATGTCACATTGTGTTATTACATAGTTGTGACCCTTGGTGAAAAACCAGCATTGAATTTCAAATCCTACAAACTATTACACTCTGACCTTCTATCCCAACCCTAAATCCTGATCCACTATGATTCATTGCCACTGACGTTAGTCTAACTCTCTGAAGATTCTTCCAAAGAACTCTACGTGGTACAAGAATTTCCTGAACTCAGTGCCTCTGGCTTCTCCACTTCTTTCCCGGCAATGCTCCTATAAAAGCGTGCCTCTAACCCTGTCAGTGTGTTCACCCTCTCAAGACCAAAATGCTTAACGAAGAGAGACCAGTAAGTAGACTTCTGGGATTTTTTTATTGCATAGACGTTTTGTTCACATTGGAAAATTTGTATTGGTTTAACCCTATTCTAGAAACAGAAAATTTTTAGTGATACTTATTACAATGTGATCTTCCTGTCAAATATGAGTGAGGCAGAGCCACACCATACAGCACCTCTGTAGCATCCGACAACGGTGAAGATGAACTGGTATCAGATCAACGGCTGAGTCTATTATCTGTGAAATTAGCAAACAGATTTCTCTCTGTGACTGACTTCACATTTCTACAACTTTAAAACTATCACAAATGCAAACTACTACTAACAATCTGTTAGGCGACAGGAAAGCAGGTACAGAGGAAATCGATTACCCAAACTTTAACAAAATGAAAAAAATCCTTCCACAGTTTAGTAAGATCAGCTTAACTAATAAGTAAACTAATTCACTTTCCACTTGAAGACCAAATGCAGCTCAAATCAGATGGTGTTTTGAACACCACCCAAGAGCTGACAACCTCCCTGATACCAGTTACTCTCAAATAATGATCAAGGCAGGATTTCCGAGCCTCCAGATGGTCTGAGGGCTGCCCTCAAACTCAAGGGTGAGACGTGTGAGTGCCAGGCAGCCTCGTCAAACAGAGGAGGGGACTTGAAGTGACTGGACCACCAGAAACCCAGCAATCCTCCCTCAAACTGCCTAAAATGGTAGAAATAAATCCGTATCACTGGTGCAGATAACAATAGATTCGGAATCCCTATTCTAAAGAAACTAGTTATAGAGGAGAATTTTAGTGGGAATGCCACAATTTTCCCAACTCCCTCCCAATTCTGCTTGTACCTCCCATCCCTTGTTCCGTATAACTCACTGCAAGTGAAGAATCTTGTGTACCAGCCACCACCTTGTTCGACACTAAATCACACGGCTGAAGTATGAAGATTCAAATGAGACTTTTCATTATAAATGCTTCCACTATCAAAGTGTGAAAACACATTTGAAAATGTGCCACATACTGTTACTGGGGGAAAGTCTACCCAGTGCATCATGACCCCAGGTCTGACAACAGTTCTAAGTCTAACATTTTAGAGGCACTTGGTGATTTAATATTTAAATTGCCTTCTGAATAGTCCATGTTGAATATACAGTGTAGGAAGCTTAATTTCTCTAAAATTCCCATCCAGTGGCTGACACCCCTCCTCTGGGTCAAACTACAGATTTTTTACTAAAAAGTGAATCCTTCCAAAAGAGCTGCATAATTAAAGTTAGAGATAAGAAATTGAAGTTTACAATAAATTTTTCATAATGCTAACACTGAGGCTCATAAGTCTTTTCATTTTCATTTCATTTGATGTGGTCTTTTCTTTCTTTTCTATTTTCTCAGATTCCAAAAAGTTATCTGCTATTTCAAGGAATCACAAGTAGTACAAGAAACACTTTAGATATATTTAACCCATTGGTAGAATTATATAAAAGTCAACTTTTCCATTCAAATTCCCTTTGAAGAGATTTAAAGAAAAATAAAAACAGAAATTTCTTGACATCCATTTTCTTTCGAAAATTGGAGACTCAATTTCCACCTTTGGTGCATTATCCCATTGTAGTGGCTCCTGCTACAATGATTATCTATCTAGCATCCATTTCCCTTCTCCTCCTTCATAATAGAAACAACTTTGTTCAGATATCCAGCCCTCCCCCTCATTCCACACTGGAAGTCCAAGGGATGGGCCCTAATTCACTCAAACCATCTTGGCTATTGTCTGGTTCGAGAACTTAATGTCATCAGGATGTGGTATTCTCCCCCAGATGGTTATGCTAGGCACAGGCAGGCACTCAATACCTGTTCACCCTCTCTCCCCTCCCCATCTTAAGGAAACCGAACAGTGGCCTTTCCATGGCCTACTAAATAAATCCCAAAGTGAGCATCCAAGGCTTTCACTATCTTTTTACGACCTTTCTAGCCCTTTCTCCTGTGCACACATCTCCTGCTCTAGCAAGCCAGAACCTTGACCTTTCAAAAACATGCCCCTGCACTTTCCACTTCATATCTTTCGTCCAGGCTGTTCCTTTAGCTTGGAAAACCCAACCACTGCCATCTCAGCCAATTCAAATTCTACTCAAAGCAGAGGAGATCAAAAGTAAACTTTTCCAGGAAGTCTTCCTTGATGTCACCATTAATAAACAGCACTCATCATATATTCCTTGTATCAAAAATTGCTTGTCCATGCTTCCAGCCTGACTGCAAACTCCTTCTTTAAGGGCTGTGGACATACTCTTGTGCATCTTTGTCTTCCACCATCACCCCTCCCCACCAGACACCCAGATGCAGAATGGAAGCTCAGTAAATATTTGCTGAACAAATGAACACATTTGTTCATTTTTGGAGGGTGAAAAGTGCCTCTACAGAATAGTTCAACATGAAGGCTGAAATGTCCTTGGAAGTCTTTACAAACATCCTAGGATGGCTTAGCAATAGTTCTGCTGAAGGAAAAGAAACAAATCAGATGACCTTGTAAGGCTGCTTCTGCGAATTACATTAACTCTTTAAAAGTACTGCCTAACAATTCAAAATAATAATAATTCAAATATATTCAAAATATTCAAAAATATTCAAATAATTCAATAATAATTCAAAAGCAAACTATATATAAATGTCATTTACAAAAAGAGAGTGGCATTTACTTTAACCTATGAAGATTAATCACATTATTTTTACCAAAAATTTCAGCAGTTCTTATAGTAAAATTTATAACATTTTCAGTTATGTCCAAGGTATTGTATAAAAAGCCCATTTGCTCCATCTTATTTCACACTTGAAGGAAGCAGGACAAAAATGTTGGCCCTCTCAAACCAGTAACCAGACAAAATAAATTTAGAAGCACATACTGACATCACTTAATTATTACCTACACATCATCACTAAAAATATACCTACTGAACTCCAGGAAAGTTAGCTGTAATTTTGATGATTTCCTTCACTGGCTTCTATGGAATAGGTATATGAAGTTTTGTATTCCTTTCTCCCCTACTAAATGAATTTGTACAATTTAAATTAGCTAAAATTAGGTTACTATAGGTAGGTTATCTATAGGTACATTATCAGCTCAATTAAGGTCACAAAACTATGGGAAACATACTGATATCTCCAGAAAGAACAAGGTTAACCACAATATTCCATAAACCACTGAACCTGCTTTTTAAATAAAACCCTTCAGAATAAATCTCAGCAAATCTCAACAATCAATTAAATGAGACAGAACTTGACTGCACAGGACAGTGCACTCACGAAAGAAAAGGGCACTGGATAAGATGAAAATCAGAGTTTAAATATGATGGCTATTCATAGAAAATCAAATGTAAGAAAGATTAGAGAGTAGAAAATTTTAAAATAGATTTTTTTAAAACCATTAAGAAAATTAAACATGCATTTATTCCTTTGTTCTAATATCGTTATATTCTATGTATTTTTGTAAGTCATTTCAAATCCTTTGGGGAAGAAGCTAGGGTAGAAAACGTTAAATGCTTGTTTTCGAGTATAGTGTAGCACGCTGTGCAGTTATTTTTAAAATAAAGATCACATTTATCAGTCAAACTTGCATATGCTTGTTAAACGTTATGGTAAAGCTACAATTTAAAGTTTTCTGCATTATTTTAAAGGCATCTCTAGTTTTCCTGCAGCCGCCTAGTAACGGAAATTGATTCTAAAAACTGTTTCTCACTGGACCCAGTAAGTAAGGGAGCTGATTATCTAAACAGGAGCACAGCGGGGTCAAAGTCAGGTTCGGGATCGGCGGGCCCCGAGCGGCGGGCGCAGTCCCCTCTCCGATCGGGGACACCTGAGCCGCGCGGGCGGCGGGGAAGGAGGCGCGGGCGGGCGCGCGAGCCCCGGCCCACAGCCACGATTGCGCCCCGGAGAAAGTTGGGCTCCTAGACGCGGCACAGGCGAAAAGGCTGCTGGCGGTCCCCAGACCGCTTCTCCCCGCGCCCGCCGGCCCAGCCTGGCCCAACGGCAGCGGACGGCTCGGGCTACTCACCGTGCAGAGAGAGGAGCAGCAAGGGCGCCAGCGGGGAGCCCCGAGAAGTCATCCCGGGGCCGCAGGGAGCGCGCCCGCCGCCCGCCCGGCTCCTCGTCGCGGCCGCGGAGGCGCGGGCCGGGCTCTCGGCGCTCTCGGGGCAGCCCGGTCCTCGCAGACCCGCCGGGGCTGGGACCGTGGGACGCGCAGACCCGGCAAGTGCGGCTCCCGCGGCGTCCCGCTCTGCGGAGGCCGAGCTGCCACCAGGCGCGTCCCGGGCTCGCCGGCCTCGCCCCGCAGCGCCCCGGCCACCGCGCGCTGCCCCCGGCCCCGCCGGCCCCCCGCGCCGCCCGGGGAGCCACTCCCCCAACTCTCGCCCTGCTCCTCGGGCGGCAGCCCGGCTCGGCTCGGCTCCGCGCCGCCCCCTCGGCCCGCTCGGTCTCCCCGGCAACCGCGGCTCCAGCGCGACGCCTGGCGGCCCGCCCGCGGAGGGAGCGCGGCGCGCAGCTGGCGCGGCCCGGCCACCTGTGCACGGGGCCCCGGCGAGCGCCGGAAAGGGGCGGCCGGCCTGCTCGCCGCCCGGGGCCCCTCGGGGCCTCAACACTCCCGGGGCAGGAGGTGTCAGTCCCCATCCCCACCCGGCTCTAGGAGGGACTTTGCCACTTCCTTCCTCAGAACCAGCAACATTGTTTTCCGTTGCAGTTTCCAGATGATTTCTATTTGGCCATTTCACTTTCAGTCTTCTCTTCTGTAATCTAAATAATCTGAAAGAACCTGAGTCTGACAAAATTCATAATCAACGAGCCTTGTTCTATTCTATAGCTTCTTTCTTTCCTTCTTTTTTCTGACTACTCTTTCTTCCTTCAAAAGAGCGTAGGGGCGTACCACGCTCCTCACTCCCGGGTCCTATCAATGAGACGACTCCCTCTCTTGCTCCGTTAGTAAAACTTACGTCAACTTCTAACTTTTAAATTTTCCTGTTTTAAATGTTATCGCTTTCTTCAAGTAATTTCAAGTATTTGTTAACTAGTGAGGAGGTGATTTTATTGTGATGGTTGTTATTTTGGTTGGGTTTTTTTGTTTCTTCTTTGGTTGGGTGTGAAGAGGGAACTTCGTGGCATCTGAAATTATTTTACTTAAATATCTACCTGCATCTCTTATAAAACCTAATCATCTTTTTTTTTCCATTGAGGTTGCTGGTTCCTTACTGCCCACAGTCACTCTCTGCTTCAGCCTCCAACCTGAGCCTTCGAAATTTGAGAACATGTCTGCCCAGGGAATGTCAGACCATTCTGGTCAATTTCTACAGTAGCACACTGAGGCCATTCAGAAATTCTTAGCCCCATCTGGCAGATACAATGTGAGATACAGGCAACTCAGAAATGAAAATAGTATGCACAGGAGAAAGGCAAATAATGTAAAACAGCTATCCATTTGGACAAGGATTAAAAGATATACGTGAAAATGAAAATAGTATCAAGATGGTGGACTCATGGATGCACCTTTTATTTTTTGAAAATGTTGATGTTATAGTTTCAAGTAAAAAAACAAAGGAGAACCATTAACAAGTGTCAATCACCTTTAACAAGACTACCCTAAAAAGATATAGTTTGCTTATCAGTTAGAGATGATTCAACTTTGCTCACTATTTCCAATTTGCTAGAATCCCTTACCAGATCTCTAATGGCAAGAAAAGAATGATATGACAGTGTATAGTCTTTGCTATTCATAACAGAAAGTTAAAATTTAAACTATGATTTCATAACTGGGCTCATTCTCATTCTTTTAAACTCAAAGGGTTTTTTTTCTCTGTCCAATTCAATTCCTTACTTTGCCCTGTGCAAATTCCTGCATTCTAACCAGTCCTATGCAGGGCATAAGAGTAAGTAACATAAAGCTGTCAAATGGCAGGTGCTCCTCAGAGCAGGACTTTGCTTCACTATAATCCCAGACATAAATATAGAGATAGAATATTTATTCTTTAATTAAATAAATAACCTAATAATCTAGGCTGAAAAGCCCTTATAAAGCAAGTTACCTGAAATAATTCTTAGCACATCAATTCAGCATATATTTACTGAGTATCTACACTCTGTAAGGCACTGGGTTGAAGGTTAAACATAAAGTATAAGATATGATCCCCATCCTTAAATAACTTCCAGTTGTATATGGGATGTATCTGCACATCGTGAATCAGCAGAGCAAGAGAGCTCTCCTGCCTCTGTCACCATGGTGTACTTCCGCCTTGCCCAACAGGAGCTGGCGAGTTAGAAAGAGGTCAGAGTGCACAGAGTTTGGTGGAGCCGCCCTTTTCATAGAAAAGGGAGCGTGGCTTCTGAAGGGAGAGTGGGGGCGATCAGATTTCAGGAGGCAATCTGGCTGCCCAGAAGCGTGGAGGCAGATGGTAGATGGTGGACTCGAAGGAAGCTGACGGGGAGTACGGGAAACTCCAAGTGCTGTGAACAGAGGCTTCCAAAAGGACGCTCTCAGGAAACAAAGAAAAAATGGGCTTTTTAATTCATAGAGATAATACCACTGGCATGCATTTTTGAGTAAATTTTTTATTAGTATTGATGAGTTTCACCAGCTCTTTTATCCTAATCTGCCTTATGACCACGGTAGGATTTCTTTAAATCTCTGAAGTATTCTGGGTGCTAAAGCAACAGACATCATCTTATGTTTGTATAATACTTCATAAATTTCAAAGTGCTTTCACATATATCATCTGATTTGATCTTCACAGCAACCCCACAGGGTGTAAGGCAGGGATTACTCACATATTCACATTATTCACATAGTAAGATGTCCAGTCTCAAAAAAGGATCAAGGGATGCCTCAGGGATTGCAAATACCAATGGGCAGAACTGGAACCAAGGCCTTCTGTCATTCAAGCCATAGTTTTTTCGATCACACCACAAAGTCTTTTTCTTTTATCTCTTTATAGACCAACATCTAAAGAAATTTATATAAATCATAGTGTCTTAAAGCTGGCTGTGGGGATCACTGCAGTTGCCTCCCCAACATTTCTCCCACCTTCCCCTCATTACCATCCCCACCACCACCACTTCCACCCCACCCGCAACACGAGGGGAGCTATAGTTGGTCAATCTGACCAAGGGAGTCACTGGGACATGGAACCCTAGTGAGACTCTGCTATACTGTAATAATAATATTGGCTCAAAAATATTGATGACATGGGAATACATTCAACTTATAAATATCTAAATACGGATTATTCAAATTCACATTTTAATCCTACACCAGCTTCTCTGCTCCACCCATCAAAATGCTGGATCATCTCTTCCCAGAGTTACTCTGCATTCAACAATGGAAAATTAATTATATTATTTGCTCAGGAGAAAAATAATTATGAAAGAAAAACAATGGAGGGAATTATAAGGCTTTTCAAAGCTCAATATAAATCATTTTTAATGCGATATTTGAAATTATTAATACCACCTATCCCTCTGGATTCACGTATATAATTACAGATTAATTGCATTTAAGTTTTCAAGGATGTTTGTCTATGGAATGTTTTATAAGAAAAGCACTTTTAAAGTTAGAAAATACCTTTTTGAACTTTGAGCCAGTAACTCATTCTGTAACCTTTTTAACCCAGCTGCTTAGAACCACATAGAGTCTATTGGTCCTTTCAGAAGTGAAATTTGAGAGGAGTTCTTTCCCCTTCCCCTTTGTGAAGAGGCAATAAAGGGTCTAAAATAACAATAAAGGAGTGGAGAAGATAATAGTGGAATGCTTAGAGTAATTAACAAGCCAGTAAGTGTTCACTGCATGTTAAGACGTAAGTAGACCATTTAAGATTTTAACATCCTTCTCAAATTGTGGGTCAATTTATATCTAGATATATTAACAGCCTACTTTTCTTATATCCATTTCTGCCCATTCCTCTAGTAGCTGTTGCTAATTAGGATTTACGCAAAGGTCACAGCTTCTCCATCGCCCTCACTGAAGCCTAATCCCTGCCACTGTTGTGAATATCGCCTAAGCAAAGTTTCACGCCATCTTCATCCATTTGGGGAAAAGTTGGCTCTTTTCCTTGAAATCCTTTTATTATGAACACATTTTTTTTTAGGCAAAGTTATTCTCTGAGCACAGCCCATTGTGATAAAGTGCTACTGAATGCATTTTAATGGCAAATTTAAAATGGCACCACTATGTTTTTGTGTTTTTTGAGACCTGTAACATTTTACTTGTTAAAAATGAACAGTTTCAGATTAGATCTAAATGTAACTTTTCAAAAAAACACCAAAAAGTACAGAGTAGACTATGAGTTTTCCATAGAAGTTTAATTTAAAGTGTACTTAAGACTTTCATTTCTGACAACAAAGTTGATTAGAGACCTCGACTTACAAGAAATGTCAAATTATATTTTGTTAAATCTTAGATGAATTCATAAGCTCTCAATAAAATATGAAAAAGTCAAGCCAAAAGCTAGATGAAAGAAGGACTCCTTCTATAATCTATTCTCAACACAGCATCCCAAAAGATCCTCTTGGGTAAGATCAGCTTACACCTTTGCCTGGGTCCTTCCAATGCCCTCCCATCTCACTCAGAGTGAAAGTAAAAGTCCTTTCTATAAACTACAAGGTTTGTGTTAAATTTCTATTATGCTATAAAAAATTACTACAAACTTAGTGGCATAAAACAACACAAACTTATTATCCTATAGTTCTGAGGTCAAAAATCCAAAATGGGTCTCATTGGGCTAAAATCAAGATGGCAGCAGGGCTCTGCTCCTTTCTGGAGAATCCATTTCCTTACCTTCTCCAGCTTCTAGAGTCCACCTGTTTTCCTTGGCTCATGGCCCCCTTCCTCCATCTTCAAAGCCATCAACATCAGGCCAAGTCATTCTCACATTGCCGTCTCTCTGACTGTCCTGCCTCCTTCTTACATTTAAAAAGCCTTGTGATTACAGTGAGCCCACGTGGATAATCCAGGATAATCTCCTCATCTCCAGGTCAGCTGAAGATTGACCTTAATTCCATCTGCAACCTTAATTCCCCTTTGCTGTATAAGGTAACATATTCTCAAATTCTAGGGATTAGGAAGCAGGCGTCTTTAAGCGGGGCCATTATTCTGTTTACCACAAGGCCCACCTTGATCTAGTCCATTATCTCTCTAACGGCTTCTTCCGTCCTCCCCCACTCCCACCCGACACTCACTCCGATCTTGCTACAATGACCTCCTCAATGTTCCTCCAACAAGGAGGAACATGTTTGCCTCAGGGCCACTGAAATTGTTCTTTTCCCAGAATTTTGCACAGCTCTCCTTTCAGTTCCAGTAGGTCTTTTCTCACATGTCACCTGA